CCAGGCGAGAGAGTTAACATCTCGCCACCGCGGCACCCCAACTGGCTGAGGGCCGGTGATGCTTTTGAGCACATTGCTCGCCGGCGAAGCAAGACGCCTTGACTTTGGCAGATCGCCGGTGAAATCCGAGCAACGTGACTCATTCGCGGGGGCGGTGGCCTCACCGTGTGACCTCGACCGACAGATCCACAGGGTGCTGAAGCCCGACGGCGTCTTTGTCGGGGCTATGCTGGGCGGGGAGAGCCTCTTCGAGTTGCGGGGGGCCCTGCAGCTGGCCGAGATGGAGCGCGAGGGGGCTTCTCGCCGCACGTGTCGCCCTTCACCACGGCGGCCGACCTGGGTGGGCTGATGACGCGCGCCGGCTTCACCATGCTCACCGTGGTACGTGGTGATACGGGTGCCGGCAGCGGTTGCCCTGGCGCCACCGACAGCAGCGGCAATAGCGGAGTGCCAGCAGCGTCCGTGCAAGCATCGGCGGCATCGTAATATCAGCAGCAGTGACAGTACCAGCGTTATCAGCAGAATAACAGCACTGACGGCGGCGTTAGAAGCAGCAGCAGCACTAGCAGCAGTCCCAACCACAATGACACGAACGGTATCGGCACCCGAATTGAGAGCAGTGATAACATGGCAGCGGCAGCACTAGCAGCAAAAGAAGCAGCAAGGGTAGCAGGAGTGCAAGCAGAAGTAGCAGCAGGGTCTGTTGCAGCAGAACGAGCAGCACCACTCGCAGCACCACTAGGAGCAGCACTGGTGCTGTCACGTCACACCTGTTCTGTTTGTCAACATGCACGCTGCCAGATCTCAAGTGCTCGAGTCTAAATGGATGATTACCTCGTTATCACGAACCACTTGCGGGATTGGAAGAAAGTTCACCGTCAGGGTCGTCGCTATGGCAGGTTTAGTGACCTTTGAAGAAACGCACGAGAACATGAACGTAGATGTGTGCGCGTGCGCGCCTCCTGGTCGCGTGCAAAACATTACGCACGCGGTTTGCACGCGTTCACTATTCCCCTGTACAGTACGGTAGTGTGCTGCATCGTGCGCGGGTCGCTGACGGAACGCGGCCGCCATGCGGCGGTAGAAAGAAACGCGAGAGAACGCGCTCACGCTGCCACGGACCGCTACACAACGGCGGGATCGTTATGTTGAGCGTGGCTCGTCACAACGAGGTGACACTCTTAACCACAGTAATTTAGTCTTTATTCCGCCGCTGAAGGTCTCCTCCCATACAGCACCGTCGGTCATGACGGTTGTCTGGCCATGCCTCGCCACGCTGGTCAGTGCGTCGTGTCGAGGGGAGGGGAGGCGGGGGGGAGGTGCCACCAGCGCCCAGGTTGGATATCGCCCACCAGCGATGTTAGCCGAGCCGCGGCCTGGAATCGAACTCGGGTTGCGAGGTTCATCGTGCAGCTTGTAAACCACTGAACCCCCCCCCCTCCCTCTGGTTAAATATATAATAATAACGGGCATTCACAAGAGGGACAGTGAATCTCAGGGCGCCTCAGCGTGGTCAAAGGATTCGAGCGGTGTCATCAGTGGGCTTCCAAATATAGAATTTTAGCAGCAGGGCTGTGGTCTGGTGAAACGAAAGATGACGATCACTCGCAGGGCGAGAGCTTGCCACATGCTTGCGACCTAAACTGATGGTCCTCTCCAATCTCTGTGTCTCTGTCCCTCGCCCGTGTGCTCCTGTCCCCGTTCTCTCCCTCTATACGTCTGTCTTCCCGTCTCCGTCTCCCCGTGTTTGTCTCCTGTCCACGCGTCTCGCCGCGTCCCTGTGTCGCGTCTGGATTCCCTTTTGCTCCATCTCCCCGTGTTTGTCTCCTGTGTCGCGTCTGGATTCCCCCCCCCATGCGCGCGTTGGTTTTAGGATATGGACGAGATTGTGGTTCGTTATCCGACGATGTTCGAACTCATGGCCGACTTGCAGGGTAGGTACTGCATGGCAAACATTGACATACGGACACATACACACATTGGATATATGGACGTGTACTGTATTACCAATGCGCATACGTGTGCACATTGATAGTTTTGTTTTTATACACCCGCAGTAATAACCAGGGTGGCCTGCTGGATTGAACGATGAGCTTGAGCAACATGTATGTTGAACTTCTGGCGAATGTGCTGTGTTCAAGTGCTGTTTGTCTGTGCGTGTCTGTGTGTTCGGGGAGCGGTGGCGCAGCGGTTAGCGCGCGGCGCTACGATCACGGCAACCCGAGTTGGATTGCCACTCACAGCCAACACCGGTGGTGATTATCTGATTCGGTCCTGGGCCCCTGCTAGGGCGACTCGGCCTCAAACGATGACCGAGTGCGGTGTGCAAACATCGCCACTGGGGAGACAAAAGACTGCCGCCCCCTGCTGCTGGCCACTTGCCCCAACAGTCTGTTAGGGCTACACGGGGAATCTTTGTTGTGTGCGTGCGCATCAGGGATGGGCGAGAGTAACTGCACGTGGAACCGGAAGGCGATGCTGCACCGGGACACGATGGTCGCGGCTGCTGCCATCTACAAGGGTTTGTGCACTGGGCGCGCCCGACGATGACGGCGATGACGATGATGACGACGATGATGACGATTATGACGACGATGATCCTCCACAGTGACGCCACTTCGGGAGCAGTTTGGTGATGCTGCTGCTGCTGGCTCCGGGCTGCTGGCTGTTGCTGGCTGCTTTGGCAGTGGTGCACGAGCACAGATAACCAAAAAAACTCAACACATTTGTCATTAGCACTGCGGCCTTAAAGAGAAAATGATGTAACGGGTGACGATTAAGGCAACGACCCTCCTGGCTTCTTCTGATGCGCTATGAAGAAGGGCAGTTGTCAAATCGTGACTCGTTATATATTTTTCCTTTTAAGGCCGCAGTATTAATGACAAATGGGTTTAGTTTTAGTTTTTTTAACTTTGAGTGCATAAACCCATTGGCTTTCCATCGGCACTGATCACAAGCACCTGTTTTTGTGTAGGTGTGTATGTAAATGTACATACGTATATGGGGGTATGTGTGCACGTGTGTGGGTGTATCTGCGAGTGTTCATATGCCCATATTGATACACATGCAGCGGTGTATTTGGTGCACTGCGGTATGAACCTGGCGACCCACATTCGATTCCCGCAACGGCCAACATTGTTTAAGATTATCTGAACCTGTCCTGGGCCTCCCCCAGTTTGACTTAGCCTCAAATGAGTATCTGGTCCAGTGTGTAAAGATCAGAACTAGGGAGACAAAGGTGGTTTGGCGGGGTACCGACCACCCACCCCCTTGTGTGCTGTGCTGGCCTTAATAGGTGCTCGCTAACAGCACTTTCCCCCAAGTGTGTTTCACGGTTACACAGGGGAGGGGGGAAACTTTATCCTTGTGTGTACGCGCGTGTGCTTTGACACAGAGATGTACGGGCCAACGGAAGACTCCATCCCGGCCACGTTCCAGGTGCTGCACATGATCGGCTGGAAAACCGCACGAGTCACAGGTGAGACCTCTACCCCGTGCATGTTAGGCTCTTGAGAGAGCACCGAGCCACCACGGCCCAGCATCGGGGTTCAAGCCCTGGCAATGCACGTCTCATAATTAACTACCTCGCCTGGTATACATGAGGTCGTGGGTTCCATGATGACCCTGAAACCTGCATATTTGGAGCTTGCATGTGCTCCCCATGGTCGCGTGGATTTTTCTTCGGGTTCTCCGGGTTTTCCCTCCACATTTGGAATCAACGTCACGCGTTTAGAGTATTTGGCTGCTATACATTTCCACATAAGCCACTTCATTGAGCTATCATTTGTGGCCAGGGCGTTTCTGAAAAAGAGCTACATAGCTCAGTGGGCCTTACCTGGTAAAATAAAAAATGTATCCTGCAGTTGATCCAGGATTGTGATTGGAGCCACTGGAGAGATCGTAGCAAGGATTGGGGTAGATGCCTCTCTTGCAGGAGTGTGGAAAGCGCACAACACAATTGGTTCGGCCTGGAACTCAATCCGTTTCCTCTCCTCCTGTCCAGGCCAAGCCGGCCAAGAGGGGCTCGCAGACTCGATCCTTTGGCGATCTGGGCCGCTTGGAGCCGAAGACGAAGTGAACTCTGCCCTGCCCCCTCATGTGCACAGACTCGCACACGACACGGATCCGGGTTCTCAAGGCCAAGCGAGTTGATGGTTTCATCTCGGTCATCGATGTACTGAACAAACAAAAACTCCCGTGTATCGTTTTGGATTTTACTTAATCCTGGCCCGCCAGCGGAGGTCTTACATTACAAATGTGTCGAATCAACGACGTTGGGGAAAACCACTATCCACTAACGAGACCGAGACGTCGTCAAATGAACTGTTAATCACAAATCACATTGTTGAGCAGAGAGCCTGGCTTCAAAATACAGTGCACAACTTCCACAAATAATAGGGAGATTTGTTTTTTGTCTTGTGAAGGTCTCCCCAAGTTAACTATTGCTCGTCACTAAGTCTGCTCCAGTGGTGTGCAGTGACACGGGAGTTGAAAGGTGAAGGATGCAAGAGATCGCAACACTTTATTAAAACACGCGGGTATCCACGTTTACAAAGCAAGCTCTTCACTTCCAAGTCACAAACTCGTGGACTCGCACACCGATGTATTGCCAGGCAACTTGGCTTTGATATTTGCGTCCGTCGACGAGATGTTGCCAAGTTGCCGGTTGCTCGACACTCGATTCCGTGGTGAACGTTCGGATTGACTTAATGCAATCAAGGCGGCTCAACTCAACCGTCCCATGGGGATTGAAATTCACCTTCTGCTGCTGCCGTAATTACCGGGGTTGACGAGGGACATGACCCCTGCCGGGGACGCACGTGTTTAGAAGTCGTCCGGTTGAGATGCAGCGACTCGCACGAGTGAGTTGCCCAAGTGGCATCGTCACCCCCTGCTAGCGCTCATGGACAAGAATTTGCGTGCGTCTTTAAAAATGTGACAATTGCATTTTTACCTAAACACTTTTGAATTTGTGTTTGCCTGCATGTGTTTTAAATAATGTGTTTATTTATACAGCGTCCAAATACAGAAATAATATTCAATCTCGGGGTTGTACGAGTGGTACTTGAAGGACGAGCGAACCGCAAGGCAAGGGGGAGAGCCCTACAAGGAGACGGTGGTCGTGAGACCGTGAGCAGGCCTCGGGAGATCGAGTGTCAAGTGTGTGACAACTCGATGACCTGGCAGAAGGAAGGAGGCGATTGCCGCGGTCGCTTTGTTGGTACGCGCCGTGATGACATTTTGATCTGACTATGGACAACAGGAAGTATTCACTTCGTGGTGAACCCTGTAGGTAACATCCGCGGCATTTTAACCGTAAAAAAAAAAATCTGAAAAGTTCTGAAGACATCCAAAAACAAGGCAATATACAAGAGTTTTAAAAAGTTCAGCAATTCACATCACGCAGGACGCCAATAAAATATATGTATGTACATGACAAATATCGCGGCAACATGCAAATCAAACCCCAAAATCCGTGGGCACGCGAGGACGTGGGTCTGGGCCAGTGGCTCCCAAATTGAGAACCAACGTGCCGAGAGGCATTGCGAGCGAAGCCGTCACCTATGTTGGGGAGGAACTCGTTACTGTAGCCCGATCACCAAAAGGCAAGTTCTGGTGATCCCGTGTAATTACTCTGGGATTAGTGTGTATTCGGATTGCCATTGGCGCACATTTAACTTGCTTACAATATCGTTTTTTTCAAAACTCGAGTAAAGGACCACGCCAGCTTCAGAAGCAGCCAATGGCTTTTTTCGCCAAAGCGTAGAATAATTCTGAAACAAGTTGTTTGGTGACGCTGCTGCATCGCCAGTTGGGCACGAGAGCACCAGTAACAAAAGGAATGTAACGCGTTTATCACGAAAACTATGGCCTTAAAATAACAAATATATAATGTATACATTTGAGGTAACGGTCCATCTGCATAAATATGTGTGCTTAGAAGGGCCATTTTCCTCAACGTTACCTGTAATATATTTTATTTTTAAGGTTTGTGTTAATGACAAAATTGTTGAGTTTCTAGAATCACCGCATAAGTCAAAACATTAACCGTTTACAAAACTCTGAAATTACAGAAAATGGGGATTATGTTCGTTTCTTCAAGCTCGGTGTAATCCAATAGCGATGGCTTTTAAAGTCGCTCAACATATTCAGGTTTTAAATCTCACCTATCAATTCGTAGACAAGCGTGCCTGCTCAATCGATTTGCACGGCACCCCATTTGCGGTCCTCGGCTTCGACACTTCTATGACGGGAGTAGGCATCTACGCAGGAAAATCTGCTGCTGGCATCTGAAGGATCCTGCTGGAATCGGAGCTCTCTATGCACGGTGCTCCGAAATCGGCTCGGCCCATCACACTTTCACACAATAAAATTAATGCCGCGTGAAAAGTTAACAGCGATCATCCGATAGATAATGAACTCGCCTCTGTCATGTGAATGGGGAATTGTCATAACTGCAAGAAGAGCATCGCTCCTTGATTGCTTGCGCAGGGAGGCTTTTTGACGATTTATTTGCATTGGAATGTCTGGATAAATCTTTTAAAATCAGGGTTTCTGCACAAGGAAAAAAAACAAGAGACGCTAGAGAAAACCCACAAACGCACACACAAAGGAAAAACTCTAAAATCCACGCTGAGATATTTTGGTCTTTACAATATCCTATCAACCCCGGCTGGAAAGTGCCGAATCGCAGGCATGCCAACACATCTTAACCATGCCACATGACCCTGCCATAGCGAGGGAGGTGATCTTTAGAAGGGTGCAATGCTGTGGTGCTTCACACAGCCGTGGCAGGTGCTGTGATGATGAGATACTCCGGGAGTGGTTAGCGCGCTGCTATGAACCCAGCGACCCGAGTTCGATTCCCGCTCACAGCCAACACCGGATCTGAATATCTGAACTGGTCCTCGACCTTCCTTGTGTCAACTCGGGCTAAAGTAACTGGTGCGGTGGTTAAATATCGCCAATGGGGAGACAAAGGCGGCCGGGCGTAGGGCTGGCCACTCACCCCCTCGTGTGCCGTGTCAGCCTTCATAGGTGCTCGCAGCACTTGTCCCAACGATCTGTTAAGGCTACACGGGGGACTTGATGGTGAGATACGACTGCGTGGTAGTGGCGATGAGGCAGATACGACTGCGTGGTAGGTACTCTGATGATGTGATACTGCATGACGAGTGTTGTCGTGCTCTAATAGGCATTGGGAGGTGTTGGTAAAGATGGTGCCAAGTGGCGAGCACTGACGACGTGCTACCCATGGGCGACACTCCCACGAAGGTGGCCGTGGTGGGAGGGATGGAGGGGCTACCGGTGGGAGGGACGGAGGAGCTACCGGTGGGAGGGACGGAGGGGCTACTTGTGGGCTTCTAGCGCACGCATGTAGTCCTGCAGAGCGTCGAGGCGAGCGTCGATCTCGGAAAGGTCGGCCGATTGGCTGTAGTAGGTCACTGCAGAAAACACACAAAGACAAAGATCCCCCGTATATAGCCTTAACATACTGTTGGGGAAAGTGTTTTTAGCGAGCACCTATTAAGGCCAGTACGGCACACGAGGGGGTGGGTGGCCAGCACCATGCCCCAACCGCCTTTGTCTCCCCAGTGGCGATGTTTACACACCGCACCCGGTACTCATTTGAGGCCGAGTCGACGTAGGGGAGATCTGGGACCAGTTCAGATAATCATCACCGGTGTTGTCCGTGAGCGGGAATTGAACCCGGGTCGCCAGGTTTGTAGCGCGGTGCGCTAATCGCTACACTACCATTCCCCGTACACACACACAGGCAGATCGTACACAGGATATCAGACACAAGCAGGCATAAATAATAAAAACAACAGCCGTCATTCACGACTAAGTGGCAGTGATGTCACCGCTGCGCTCATGCCAGCCTGGGTGCCCTTTGAAGCCGTGTGAAGTGTGGAAGGCTCGCTGGCAGCAGGCCATGGCACAGACCCGGGCGTTATCAGTTGACTGGCCGAGGTGACTGGCACAGATGCACCCCACGGACCGGCGTGGCAAGTGTTGTTGCCTCGCATTTGTCAAGGATGACACGGCACACGAGCGGTTGAGTGGCCAGCACCATGCCGCGTCCTGTGTTAGTGGAGGTGAGAGATGCTTGTTGGCATGAGCAGCCAACTGTGAACGCACGGAGGGGTTTGAGGTTTGGAGAGAAATGGAGATGCAGAAAGGGCCATGCAGAGAGAGAGAGAGGCAGAGAGAGAGAGGTTAACAACCAGACGGACACCGAGGGAGGGACATGTCCTCACTTGTGTCGGCGGGTTGGGTCGCTGTGGGCGTGCTGGCCAGCTGCCGTCTCCGCTCCGCACGGCCCCGCTTGGGCTGAGGAAACGAGCGCACGAACATGATGAGTATGCACACACTCACTCACCCGCATTCACGTACACACGCACAAGCATGCTCATGCACACATAAATGCACAAGTTTGGTCGCGTGCTGTGTGAGTGGTGAGTGGTGGGGTGCTGTGTGAGTGGTGAGTGCTGTGTGAGTGGTGAGTGAGTGGTGAGCGCTGTGTGAGTGGTGAGTGCTGTGCGAGTGGTGTGTGAGTGGTAGGGTGCTGTGTGAGTGGTGAGTGGTGAGTGCTGTGTGAACGGTGAGTGTTGTGTGAGTGGTGAGTGCTGTGTGAGTGGTGAGTGAGTGTTGTGTGAGTGGTAAGTGAGTGTTGTGAGTGGTAGGGTGCTGTGTGAGTGGTGAGTGCTGTGTGAGTGGTGAGTGGTGAGTGCTGTGTGAGTAGTGAGTGGTGGGGTGCTGTGTGAGTGGTGAGTGTGGGGTGAGTGGTGAGTGGTGGGGTGAGTGGTGAGTGCTGTGTGAGTGGTGAGTGGTGAGTGCTGTGTGAGTGGTGAGTGTGGGGTGAGTGGTGGGGTGCTGTGTGAGTGGTGCGGTGCTGTGTGAGTGGTGAGTGAGTGGTGAGTGCTGTGTGAGTGGTGAGTGGTGGGGTGCTGTGTGAGTGGTGAGTGGTGGGGTGCTGTGTGAGTGGTGAGTAGTAGGGTGCTGTGTGAGTGGTGAGTGCTGTGTGAGTGGTGAGTGGTGGGGTGCTGTGTGAGTGGTGAGTGGTGGGGTGCTGTGTGAGGGGTGAGTGGTGGGGTGCTGTGTGAGTGGTGAGTGGTGGGGTGCTGTGTGAGTGGTGAGTGGTGGGGTGCTGTGTGAGTGGTGAGTGGTGGGGTGCTGTGTGAGTGGTGTCGGCAGTTCTCACTTCAGCTGGGCTTTCCCAGGAGCTCTTTTTCACGGCTTTACCTCCACGTCTATGGGTTCTGCACAACAACAACAACACATTGCACGACAATGATACGACATGACACGACACCACACTGTATCACCAGCCAACGCTATACCATCGCACATCATGCCACACGACAACGAAAACAATAGCACATCACATGCCACAACACACCAACCCACACCACGTACCACAATAATCGGGTTTTTACCCTTTTTTCAGGCGACAAAACTGAAACCTTTTGCAAGGACTCATGTTTACATTAACCACAATACTTGCAGTCAAAATGCAAACGAAAAACAACACTGATAATTTATGCATTGTCCTTGAAACTGATTGGTCCACACCAGAGACAGCTTTCCTTAGAGCTTAGTCTCATACGGTGTTCGACCAGATGATGCCAAAAGGCGCACAGTTCAAAGACATCGCACTATCAAAGTAAGCATCTACATCATGTAATAATAGGGTTTTTCCCATTTTTTCTGGCTAATGTAAACATGATTCCTTGCAAAAGGTTTCAGACACTTTGTTGAGCTATCATTTGTGAGAGCCAGGTTGCTTGTGAAAAAGAGCTACATCGCTCGGTGGGCCTTACCAAGAAAAAGAAAAAGTTGCATTTGTAGGATTGTGAGAACGAGTAATGCGAGCCTGAAGGACGTCGTGTCACTACTGCCTGAGAGGGGTCACAGAGTTGTTTGTTTTTGACGAGTACTGGGCTGCATTCTCGGCTGCAGCAGTTGAATCGGCTATAGTGTCGGTGGCAGCAGCAGCAGGAGGAGGAGGAGGAGAGGGACTCACGTGGCGGAGGTGAGAGGCTCGGAAAAGGGGGCAGCGTCGCTGCCGGAACCTGCTGATGATCGCCGACTGTGGGCGCTCTCCACTGCACAAAGACAAAGATCCCCCCACATAGCCTCTACCAGACTGTTGAGGCAAGTGCTGTTTACAAGCACTGCACACACACACACACACGTCTATACATAGATAATACATACGTCTCGTACAGACAGTGACTGAGTGATGTAACTTACGTTCACATTCTGGAAGGGCCAGATAGATTTTCCCAGTAACACCCTCCATTAGCAACCCTCCACAGAGTCGATGCTAACACCATTGGTACTGGTCTTCAGAAAGTCCACCCCGAGTCCTCCTGTACCACATCAGCCATCTCTTCTCTAGGCCGTGCCATGCTCATTCAGCCTCTATCATACAACCCCACTGGGCGTATGGGTTAACTTGACCCAGCCAACGCAACCTCGCCTTGCCAGAGGAGCTCACAAATGGGACTTTGTCCAGATCTTTCAAGCTTCTGTGAGCTCTTCACACAATCCAGCCGAGTTAAACTCAAGATAGATTCTGGGCAGTCTGACTGTTTCAATATGGCACTGGTGTTCCTGTAAAGTGCTCCATGTTTCGCAAGCAAAGAAAAGAGTGGGCTTAACTTTGGCCGAGAAGACCCAGAGCTTCATACGGAGAGCGATAGGCCAGGAAGCTTTCACTTAGCGCTATGCAGCCATTGAAAAGGTAATGGCGCTCCAATAAATTGGAGCGAGACCTCCGCTGCCAAACCAGAGGTGGTCATGACCACACTTATTCTGATACGGAACTGCCTCCAACTTCTATACAACCATTCTATACTCTTGCAGAGGGGGTGGAGTTATTGATGTCACAAAATACCCAAGACACCCCCCCACCCCGCCAGTATAGCCTTAAGAGACTGTTTGGGCAAGTGCACCTATGAAGACCGGCACCGCACACGAGGAGGTGGGTCGCCAGCACCACGCCCGGCCGCCTTTGTCTCCCTAGTGGCGATGTTTATACATCGCACCAGGTACTCATTGGCGACTCAGGACCGGTTCAGATATTCGTCACTGGTGTTGGCCGTGAGCGGAAATCGAACTCGGGTCACCGGGTGTGCAGCGCAGGCAGCGAACAACTACACTAACACGGACACGCACGTTGACACACTGACAACAACAACCGCCATTCGCCACGAAGTGGCGGTGACGTCACCACGACGCTTGTGCCAGGCCAAGTGCACCTTGAGGCCACGTGAAGTGTCGAACGCCCGCTGGCAGGAGGTCACGGGGCAGACCCAGCAGGTGCCATGGGTCGACTGATCGAGATGACCGAGATGACTGGCTGATGCACCACCTGTGCCCCCTACTGTACCAAATTGCTGTGCTTTAGCCACCCGGCGCTCCGCTCGTTGTTGTGAGCGTCGCTCCTCCGCCCTCCGTTGTTGTTGGAGGGCGATTGCCTCCAACTACCCAGTAGCGTCCTTCACGAGCCTCCTCCACTGAGGCCGATCTTGATACTGCTGGTACCAGTCATCGGCAATTCCACTCAGCTCCACGTCCTCCTGTACCACATCACTCCATCTCTTCTCTAGCCCGTGCCACGCCCGTTTAGCCCCCTCGATCCGGCCGAACAAGAGCTGTTTGGGCATGCGGTGGCTGGGCATGCGGGCTACATGACCCAGCCAACGCAGCCTTGCCTGCCGGAGGAGCTCACCGATGGGACTTTGACCAGATCTTTCAAGGATTTGTGAGCTCCTCACACAATCCAGCCTGGTTAAACCCAGGATGGATCGTAGGCAGGCCAGCCTAAATGTTTCCAACCGGCGAAGATGCTCCATTAGGGGGGTCCACGTTTCACAAGCGTAGGGAAGGGAGGGAATGACTGTGGCCGAGAAGACCTGAAGCTTCGTGCGGAGCGACAGACCAGGTAGCTTCCACACAGCGTTACGCAACCGATGAAAAGATATTGCCGCTCGACTGATTCGGAGTGAGACCTCTGCTGTTAAACTGGAGCCGGTCCTAAGCACACTGCCCAGGTATGGGAAACTCTCCACTCTCTCCACTACTGCCCCATCACCGATTGGGAGTTGTGGGGGTGGAGTGTCCGATGGTACAAAATACCCAGGCAGGTGCTTAGTTTTGGTGGGGCTGATGGTAAGGCCCCACCTCTTAGTGGCACGCTCCAGTCTCAGCAGCAGCTTCTCCAACTCCTCTTCTGAATGAGCAGCTATTACCAAATCATCGGCATACATAACGTGGTTGACCAATAGGGAGCCATCCCTTGATCGCACCCGGGCGTCGATCAGCCTCCTATTATATCTGTACCAAATAGAAATTCCCCCGGTACAGCTATTGAAGGCTTCACGAACTACATGGTCAAAATAGATGTTAAATAATGTGGGAGCCAGCGGACATCCCTGTCGCACACACTGACATGCACAGTGACACACACACACATGTTCGTGCGTGTTCGTGTGTTCTCACGGGAGGAGCTGCGTGTGTTCTGCCCGTTGAGCGCTCGTCCCCCCGAGGGAGGGCGCGACCGCGGGCGACCCCTGCCCCCGCTGGAGCCCCCGCTCCCCGGGGTCCCCTGCAGCTCCCGGCGACGCTGCCTCGAACTGCCAGCGCACGCCGCACGGTTAGACACGCCACACGGCACGCACAGCGTAGAACAAAGATCCCTCACATAGCCTCAACAGACTGTAGGGGCAAGTACTGTTCGTGAGCACCTATGAAGGCCAGCACGGCACACGAGGGGGTGGGTGGCCAGCAACCACGCCCGACCGCCTTTGTCTCCCCCAGTGGCGATGTTTTTACACACCGTACCAGGTACTCATTTAAGATTGAGTCGACCTAGGGGAGGCCGAGGGCTGGTTCAAATTAATCGTCACCAGTGTTGTTAGCCGTGAGCAGGAATGGAACTCAGGTCACCGGGTTCATAGCGCAGCACACAGTGTGGTACAACATGGGGAGCAGTGGTGCAGCTGTTAGTGTGCTGCGCTATGAACCCGGTGACCTGAGTTCCATTCCTGTGTGGTACACACTGTGTGTACCACAATGTGTGGTACATACGGGGTGGTAAGCAGTCTGATACACACGGCAGGATACACGGTGCGGTACACAAGGCGCAGCCGGCAGTGTAATACACAACGGGATGGTACGTGCGGTGTTTATGTATACACACCGTGCGTACAGTGCTCAGTGTTTATCTGTGTGTGTATCACGGTGCCAAGCACAAGGTGTGCACACACGCACGATCATTGTGTATCTCTCACCCACGCAGCTCTGCCTCTTTCTTGCGCTGCTCTCGCTCACGCACGTACGCCGTGGGGTCAAAGGCCGGCACACGGCCTGCTGGACATGTGCGCACACACACAATACACACACACACACATAGCATACACACACAATACACAATACACACAGCACACAGCACACAGCACACATACACACAGCACACACACAATACACACAGCACACATACACACAGAACACATACACACAGAACACATACACACAATACACACAGCACACATACACACACAGCACACACATAATACACACATACACACACATACACACGCAATATACACAGCACACAATACACACAGTGCACACACACGAAGAGCAAATATCCTGAACAAACTGTTGGGGCAAGTGCTGTTAGCAAGCACCTATGAAGTCCGGCATGGCCCAATGCCTGGCCACCTTTGTCTCTCCAGCGCTGGAAGTATACACACCGCACTAGGTACAAATTTAAGGCTGAGTCTACCTAGGGAAGGCTCGGGACCAGTTTAGACAATCGTCACTGGAATCAAAATCAGGTTCGTAGTACAATACGCTAACCACTCCACTACTGCTCTCCATACATAAAACCAAGATCCCCCGTTTAGCCTTGAACAAACTGTTGGGGCAAGTGCTGTTAGCGAGCACCTATGAAGGCCGGCACAGCTCACGAGAGGGTGGGTGGCCAGCACCACGCCTGACTGCCTTCATCTGCCCAGTACTGATATCTTACACACCACACCAGGTATTTATTTGTGACTGAGTCGACCTAGGGAAGGCCCAGGACCAGTTCAGATGCTGTTGACCGTGAGTGGGAATCGAACCCGGGTGACTGAGTTAATAGTGCAGCGCGCTAACCGCTGCACTAACGCTCCCCACTCTCCATACAAAATACACAAACATACATACACCTATTACATCCACAGTATACACACATATACAAGCAGACATACAATAAAAATATGTTCAGTTCTATATACATACTCTCACACTCTTGATTTAATTTTAACAGACTATCAAATATCTCATTAGATTCAAAATAGGTGGGTGGCCGAAAGATCGAGTAAGTGAATGAGTGGGTGGGTGTGTGTGTGTATGAGTGGAGATGGTTAATGAGCGAGAGGGTGGGTGTCTAAGCGAGTGAGTGGGTGAATGAGCGAAGCAGTGAGTGGGGCAAATTAATGAGTGGGCAAGTGTGTGAACGGGGAGTGAGTGAGCGGGTAAGTACATGAGCAAGTGGGTAAGTGAGTGCGCAAATGAGTGAGTCTGTGAGTGAGTGAGCGAGCAATTTATAAGCAAGGAGTGAGCAAGTGAGGTGAGAATGAGTGGATGAGTAGGGAGTGAATGGAGAGTAAGTGAGCATGTGAGCAAGTAGGTGAGTGAGTTAGTGCGTGAATGAGTGAATGGGTGAGTGGGTGAGTGGGTGAGTGAGTGGGTGGGTGAGTGGGTGAGTGAGTGGGTGAGAGCGTGGGTGGGTGAGTGGGTGAGCGAGTGGGTGGGTGAGTGTATGAGTGAGCAATTTGATAAGCTCGGAGTGAGCAGGTGAGCGTGAAAACGAGTGGATGAGTAGGGAGTGAGTGGTAGAGCATTTAAGTGGACGAGTGGGCGAGTGTCCGTCCTCACCGGCAGGCGACAGAGAGGGGGTCCGTAAGTGGGGACCACGGACGGGGGGGCGCCCCTCCCTGGACGCGGTCCTTCTCTCCCTCTCGCGGGACGTGGAGCGAACTTCACCCCGGGCCCTTCCGGGGCCCCCGGACGCCGCCCTCTCGCTGCCCCGGGAACGCTCCGCTGGGGGCAGCACGGGAGTGACCCTCCTGGGGCACAAGGAGTCTGAGTAACGAGCTGCTGGTCCACCCGTCCCTGTCAGTGAAGCCAGTCTGTCCATCAGTGACTCGGTCTGTCCATCAGTGAGTCAGTCCATCCATCCATCCATCAGGAGTCAATCCGTCCATCCATCCATCAGTGACTCAGTCTATCCATCCATCAGGAGTCAGTCTGTCCATCAGGGAGTCAGTCTGTTCATCAGGGAGTCAGTGAGTCAGTCCATCCATCCATCAGTGAGTCAATCCGTCCATCCATCCATCAGGGAGTCAGTCTGTTCATCAGTGAATCAGTCCGCCTGTCCAACAGTGAATCAGTTCATCAGTTCATGAGTGAGTAAGTCAGGGCATGAGTCACCGCCCAGGTGATTTGCTGAATCGTCACGATTCGAGGTCATTGTTGAAGAACCTCCTCTCTTCTTGTCTTGTTTTTACCACCTCCTTTATATTGTTTGTTCCGTCCCGCTTGCCCTATTTCTCATCTGTACCATCTTGTTTGTTACAATGTGATTTGCAGTTTCCCATTCCTCGTCTGATTTTCCTCATTTGCCTCATATGTCGTGCCATCCCATTTATAATATAGATCTCGTTTACATTTTCTTCTAAGTTCTGTCATCCTCATGTGAATTCTCGACTCCATTTCTACTACGAGCCTAAAGTTAGCAAAACATTCGCATGTGATTTTCATGCAATTTGCACGAATCTTAAATAATAATCGATATTCTTGCACACCATTCGATGTTACATATCGTGAGTGCAAGAATACATTTTAAGCGGCTCATCCGTGTACCACTTCTGCAGTTGCGGCAGCGATGTTGTCGTGGGCCCCAAGAGCTGAGAATTAAATAGGCCCCCCTCCCCTCCCCGACCCACTGTCCACTATCCCTCCCTGCCACAGCCCGACACCTCGAGCCTTCCAGCCTGTGGACACCGGCGCTGATGCAGCGCCAGCACCCTCGATGGCTGTACCACTGGGTTATATGCGATCGTATGATTATTACATTATGTTGTTGTGCATTGTACATCTACGAGAGCCGTTGTGTTTTTTGGTTGCATCATTGAACATGCGCGTGGGCTCACTCACCCCCTCTTGTACAGCGCCAGCTCGGTGCTGAGACATTTGACGCGGGCACGGAGACTCCTTTCCGACGCCCGCGCCTCCTCCAGCTGCACCAACGGACACACGGCACCAACATCATCATGACAGCACCATCCCAGCACCCACGCCATCATGGCGCCCACGCCATCATGGCGCCCACGCCATCATGGCGCCCACGCCATCACGGCACCCACGCCATCACGGCGCCCACGCCATCACGGCGCCCACGCCATCAGTAAGCCAATGCCATCACTAAGCCAACGCAATCACTGCGCCAACTTCGTCACGGTGCCAACGCCATAACAGCAGCAACGCCATCGCAGCACCAACGATTTCCGACGCAGCTACTAGGAACCCCCCTAGGCCTCGGCAAGGTAAGGTAAAAGGTAAAAGCAACGAGCCTACCTTTACCCTAGCTTTTACCTTTACCCCATACAAATTACCCGATTACAGGGTAATTACTAGGGAACTACACATGAAAAAGGTTTATAGCGGTAAATGCTAGGTAGAGCGCTTTATTCATATAGAATACTCTCGATGATTCCAATTTTACACGCTTGTTGTCGTTGTTGTCAGCGTCGTTGTCGTCGTTGTTGTCGGCGTCGTTGTCGTCGTTGTTGTATCCTCAAATTTTGTAACTCAACTTTAACCCACTTCCCAATGTGGTATGTCATACTGATGACAATATATTATATCATAAAAATATATATTTTTTTAAACATTATTTTTTATATGTTATGTTTCGGCTTGGGTCTAATTGTCCACGCTCAACTGACGTTGGCTGTAATTGGCCACGGCCCCTTACGTTATGGCAAGCTTCGGGGCCACTTCCTGGAGTCGTGGAGTTTAAAAGTGTGTTTTTAAAAAAGTTATTTAAAATATTACTTATTAAATGGAGGCCACGGACTGCGCCACGGAGCTTTTAGCGGTAAATAAGGTACCGTATTTACCAGGTAATACTTTACGCTACCTTTACTCCACCGGGTAATTCTTCCAAGCTACCTTTACCCTACCCTTTACCTTACCCCTTGGAATGTCGACACCTTTACCTTTACCCTTTACCTTTACCCTTTTACCCGGTAAAAAGGGTAAATTGCCTTACCTTGCCGAGGCCTAAACCCCCCTGACCCACCCAGCCTCGTGCTGTGTTACACAGCACCAGGCTCAGGCGGGGGTGTAAACGATCAACAAAAATCCCATCGTCACGGTCGCTGCTTGCACCTCGTCGTTGAGCCTGCGGATTTCCTGCGACCTCTTGGCGGCCAAGCGCTGGGCCTTGGCTCTCTCGCGGCCCAGCTCCTCCTGGAGGCTCGACACGAGGCGTCGCAGCACGCGCAGCTCCTTGGCGGCCGTGGCGCCGACGACGCCGGCGTCGCTCGCACCACCGCAGCCGCCACCCTCCGCTCTCTTCTGCAGCCGGGCAACGAGTGCCTCCAGCTCGCGTTTGTCGCGCTGGAGAGACTCCAGCCTGGTGCGCGATGGGGGAGGAGGCTTTAGAGTTTACAGAGCGAAAAATGGGAGAGTTGTGCAGGTGTGCAATTGCTTGCTCAGTCCCACTGCTGACAGAGGGGCCTCCGCTAAGGAAGATCTAGGAGCCCCATGAAAGGATATTTGACATTGAAGAAATCACACTTTACCCCACCACACGTGGTCTTCATATCAATTAACCACGGTTTACCCATTTACACTGGCGCACTGGGAGATCATGCTGACGACCTCTGGATTGCGAGACTTCATGTGCTCAGCGTTACACCATGGCAGCATCCCTTTAAACAAAGTACAAAACGTACATGGAATGGACACGTACCAAGTACACACGTATATCAGTGCGTAGGAGATATACAATGGGGTAGACGGGCTCAGAGTTGAGAGGTGAGCGTGGCTGCTGCACTCACTCCCTGTGCTTGTGGTCCTGCACGACGCCCGGGTGACCCCGCAGGTGGGACAGCTCCTCCTTGAGCTGGCGCACGGCTCTCTGCAGGGTGGCGGTATCCGGGCGCCCCGCGTAGCCCAGCGCCAGCGGGTAGTGGATCCTGCGCAGGGGGAACGGGCGGACACGGTGAGTCCTGCAGGACTACTGTGGCAGGCCCACTCAACTGTGTGCCTGTATGTGTGTACACCTGGAAACACCTGTACCAACACACACCTACGTGCCTGTGTGTGTACACCTGTACCAACACACACCTTTGTGCCTGAATGTCTGTACACCTGTACTCATGGACACCTTGACCTGTCTGCCCGTATGCCTTTACACCTGTGTGCATGTGTGACTATGCCTCTGCGCACGTACACTTATGTATATGTACACCTGTGTGCACGTACACCTTTGTGCTTGACTGCCTGTACATCTGTGTGCCATGTGCAGCTGTGACAACAATGTGAGTAATGCTTTCTGGTGGCGAGATTTGTTATTAGGATGCCGATGGTGATTTTGCATATGATAGTGACGGTGGTGGCGATCACAGTAATCTTGCTGGTGGTAGTGGTAACTGGTAGTAATGAGCGGTGATGGCTGCAAATGCTGCTGCTGACAGAGCTGCTGATGGTGACAGCGCTGATGATGGTAATGAATAATTTACTCATTTATCCAGGAGAGCCACACTGAGTCGCACGACTCTTTTTCAGGAGGGTCCTGCTGCTACATTGAGTTTAAATGTTTTGATGTTTTAAGCCAATTCACAAAGAGTTATGTTTATTATACAAGTGGGAGGAAACTGGAGCACCTCGACAAAACCCACGCATGCGAGGGGACAAAACTCTCTCCCCGTACAGATAGAAACGGATGGCGATTATTCGACTTGCAGTGCTGCCTTCTCCTGGCGAGCAAAGTCATGGCTCCTCCTCGACTCCCACGGGGGAAGAGAGTTTCACAACATTTACGCGATCCACCAACCCTCGCCTCCGCGGTGCTGGATTACAGGCCACGTGCACAGCCACCATCACAATGGCGGTGGTGATGGCATTAAGAAACAGTGTTGCAGTCATGCTGCTGTTGCTGCTGTTGCTGCTGGCGGAGGGCACCTGTCAAACTCCACCGTGTAGATGAGAATGAGGTAGCGCTTGGAGTTGAGTGCTGGGTTGGCGGCGCCACTGGGAGTGGTGGTGGCGGCGGTGGAGGGATGCAGCGCTGACCGCATGGCCGGCCCGCCTTTACGGCTCCTCATTCGCTCCAGGTTGGCATAGGTCAGGAGGTCAAGGCTCACCGACTCGCTGCTCTGAATAAACAGCCGAGTCGGGTCAACGACAACGGTCAGAGTCCTCCTGTTCAAACGAGTGTTGGATGGAAATTCCACATTGCCGTAGCGAGTCTTTCCAGAGGACAACTGTCTGTGACTGGACCGAGAGGCCATTTTAGTCACAGGCGACTGAAACCCTGATTCTACCCCCCCACCTTCCCGAAAGTGGTACACCCCCAGGCCCCCCCACCCACAGCCCCCCCAGCTACCCTCCCCTCGCACCCATGCCCCCTCCCCTTCCCCCGCACTTCTGATTAGCACGGTTAGCTACGTACGGTGCGAAAGAAGTTCAACATACATACATACACAGAGATGACAGAGTGGAATCAACCCCAGGTGGGGATTTGAAACTGTGACCCCTGCGATTGTGAATCGATCTAAACCACGGTGCCACTCAGTTGACAGCACAGCCCGGACGAATTAATGAATCGAAATGAATTAATCGAATGAATGCATATAATCTATTGAATGCATCAAATTGAATGAATGCATAGAATCAATCTAATGAATGCATCGAATTGAGAAGGGGTGGCAATGTGATCTTGAATTGAATGTTTTTTTTACCATTAAAATGAGAGTGAAGTTTTTGATAATACAACAAAAACAATGACTCTCTTAATCACAAGGGTGGAGCGGTGGTGCAGTCATGATCACGCTACACCTGGAGCCCCGAGTTCAATTCCAAACCACAGCTCACTTGAGTGGTCCTGACCCTGAAGTATGTGTGGTGAAGTATGGTCAAACCAGAATCAGAATATTTATTTATACTGGAGGAATCCGATGAGCTATAAAGCTCTTTTTTACAGATGTCCAGTAGGAGCGGGTCAGAACGTTACAACAAACAAAACAAAAACACGATTGTAGTGCAAAGTACAAGAACGGTAAACAAATCACCCAAACACACAAATACAACTAAACCATCCCCATCCTACCAGGCAAAGCCCACTGAGGTATTCACTAAATTTTCAGAAGCGACCTCGCCACAAATGATAGCTCAACAAAGTGGCCCATCATTAGGACATTTATAGGATTGACAAAGTGCTGTATTTTCGTGTGTGTGTATATATATGTACACACCCTGATCTATAGTGATTGACAGATTGACAAATGAACAATTCTACGGTTACAAAAGCTGTATGCTCTCTCTTGGTGGATTATGGGTGTTAAATAATAACCTTCAATATGCAGTGAATTCAAAGGAGAGCTATCAATTAATATTAACATATAAAGAAAAATAAATTAATCCTCTGGAATCCGATTGACAATATTGTACCCTCTCTACTGAATGCACTGTGACCGGGAATATGCGCCGTGGATATCGGCTCCATCTCCATGTGCGTTGAAATTTGCCGTTTTATTAATGCGACGATGCAATTTCTCCAACCCGCTACAACTTTGCCCGTCTACTCTTTCTGCACTGCAATTTTGCATCATCTCGCCCACTGCGTTTTGCCTTTCTTTCGTTGGTAATCTCGCTGAGAAGTCTACACCTCAGCTGCAGGGGGCTGTCAGTCCAGTGAGGGTTCAGAACCCCTGGGCATAGGATTCAGAGAGGCTCTCACCTGCGTTATGGCCGACTCAAGCATGCTGCAGAACACCGAGAATTGTTTGAAGTTTCCGGTTTTATGTGTCAGATCTTCAACGTCTACAAAAATCACAAGCACATGTAAAAGACAAAGATCCCCCATATAGCCTTAACAGACTTGGGGCAAGTGCTGTTAGCGAGCACCTATGAAGGCCGGTATGGCACACGAAGGGGGTGGGTGGCCAGCACCACGCCCGGCCGCCTTTGTCTCACTAGTAGCGATGTTTACACGCCGTACCAGGTACTCATTTGAGGCCGAGTCGACGAACGGGAGACCTGGGACTGGTTCAGATAATCATCACTGGTGTTGGCCATGAGCGGGAATCGAACTCGGGTCACCGGGTTCGTAGGACAGCGTGCTAACCGATGCACTATCGCTACGTGCACCTTAATGCCACGTGGAGTGAGGCAGGCTCACTTCTGGTAGGTCACAGGACAATCCCAGATGTTACGGGTTAACCGAGGTGACTGACAGATGCACCACCTATGCTCCCCACTATGCCAACTTACTGCGTGTTAGCCGCCCAGTGCTCTGCTCATTGTCTTGAGCGTCAACGCTCCGCCCTGTGTTGTTGCTGGAGGGCAACTTCCCAGTAGCATCCATCACGAGCCTCCTCCATCTGTTTTCTATCCCGTGCTGTGCCCGTTTAGCTCCTCTATCTGACCAAAGATATACCGCTTGGGCATGCGGTGGCGGACCATGTGGGCTATATGACTCAGCCAATGCAGGCTAACCTGCCGGAGGAACACGCCCACACACATATCCACACACACAGATTGTGCGCGGTGCATGCGTGAAGTGCGCACGTACACGATGGCTGGAAGTCTGCCCTCCAGCAGTCTCCGGAGTAGGGGTCCTGCACCTCGACGTTCAGGCTGGAGCCGCCCGCCTCCATCCTCACCTCCAGCTCCAGCCCTCGCACCTCCAGCCTCCCCTCCGCATGAACCTGGGACCTGTCCATAACTCACCCACTCCCTCCCTCCACGTCACCTCAACGCGGCCTGTAAATCAAATAACAAGGTGGCCGAGTGGCTCAGGATCAAGATGTCAACTACAGTCAATGTCATGAATATTGCCATACCTCACTATCACATCCTTCCTTCGGCCAGATCATAAGGATACTGCACAGTGGATATTTGACCAGCAACGTCCAATGTTAAGTCTCACCACCACCACCGCTATCGGGTTACACTGTCGAATTGTCCTTCAAGGAAAAACTCTTACAGGACCATCACCCCTGCCACGCAGCGACACTTAGGGACAAGATCAAGAGGTTATTACAATTCATACCACAATGTTTTGCTTTACTTTAGTTGTCCAGTCCACAAATCATCCACGAGGTCCACTTTTACAATTGTAACACCTATTGTGGCTTTTGGGTTTTTAGATAGCCCATGGATCTGTCTCTTGACCTGACAGCAAGAATTCCGTGTGTGCATCCTTTTGTCGTACTACCACAACTTGAATGCAGTTCTTCCCCCTGGTAACCGACTACTTAGCTGCATATACCTCATACAGGATTTTAACTCATCTTGTAAATGTGAACGGTACCTACCGCTAAACTCAGAAACGCCTACCTAATTTAGAGTAGTGACCGAAACGTCAATGGCCCACGTTCCATGGGATTGGTGCGCCTCAGTATTCTCATGCAGTATTTACAACTCGTGGACAAAAAACCTTGTAAACAGTCAAACGCACTGCTGCCATCAATCAGTATTGATTTGACACCCGGGATAGCAAGAATGGAAATCTTGACTTAAAGCTTTCGTGACTGCAGGAATTCATATTCTTGGGTCTTTCGGTAAAGTGAACCTATCTACATGACTTTACGAAAAGACCCAAGAAGAATGGGAATATCATGACATAACCATGTCATTGCATATATTTTTTCAATGTAAAGGTAATTGTAATTTCGGCCAAAAACTTTCTGTCATTTTCATTATATTTGACCCCAGGTGTGTTCTATAGGTAGAAGGCTGGGGGCTGACGATTGTCTGCAACACTCTTTTTCACAACAGCAGTTCCAGGATTGACAGACAGCGCCACCTACAGATCCAATGATGAATAGCAGATAACGAAACCAACAGACACCGTTTCCATTTCCAAGTGTTCACGTGATCGACAGGTACATTAAAAAAAAGTTGTAATGCATAAAAGCCCACGAAGGGTTTCATTAGACTTATATTTTGCGTGATTTTAACTGTAATGTTACACACGAGGAAATAATTAAAAGAGTGGTCCATTCCTAATGTACCACATTAACATAAAACTATGTCAATACAAAACACCTCGAAAGACGTTTGTCAAAAACTCTATTCCCTTAAAAAGTAAAATATATGAGGCGACGTTTCTCGCAATTGACGCGTCATCATAGCACATTTCTGTAACTATGAAGGACTCTTGCCCGAAACGTCGACCGTTCTATATTTTTCTGTTTAAGGTCACATAGTTATTGACGAATGAGTTGAGTGTGTTTTTGTTCGCTGTGATTGCGCCAACAGCAGCAGCATCACCAAATAATCTGTTGAAGCAATGTCGCGGTGCTCCACTCATGTGGCGGCGCTGGGTAAATGGTGAAAATTCCATATTACTATGGTAGGTGCCGCAATGCGAACTCAATAGGAGAGTTTGCACCACCCAGGCTATTTTAATATAGTAAACGAGCCTTTTGCCTGTCCAAGTGACGGGTGTATTGCAGTAAATCTGAAACTTGCAAGCGAAAAGCAGCCCGCGATGTGATATTCATTGCATCAATGCGCGGTGACACAGACCTATTTCATTTATAAATGTTATAATCCCTTGTTCATCACGTCCTTTTTACTTTGATGTCTCAACAGCGTTACGGAGACCACGTGACGTGAGGGTTCTTCTGCCTTGGCAGTGAGGGTTGTGAGTTGACGCCGAGGAGGGGGGAGGAGGCGCCTCGACCCCCCATGTGGAGTGACGTCACCCGCTAATTCCGCCACCTGCTCATGAATATTAATTAGGGGGCTGGTCGATGTGGAGTGACGTCACGAGCGTTAGGGATTGAAATTCGTGGGTGATTAGAGTAGGTACAGTATGTTGTGGGTTGTTTGCTTTCCAACACACCGGTGTGCTGTACTGGTAACAAATTGACATGTTCTGTTTACGTAACAAACCTTACTAATTGGCTGTGTCGGGTGGTGGCGGGTTTAACGACACATTTTTACGCGATCTAACCCAAAAATATATAAATTATGGATATTGGTCGCGAAAGCCTTCGTGTTAAACAGGTATTTATAGTGCGCCTTTTGGCGTCATCTGGTCCAACCCATATGAGACTAGGCTCGAAGGAAAGCTGTCTCGGGTGTGGACCAATCAACTTCAAGGACAGTGCACATTATCAGAGTTATGTTCTTTTGTTTGTATTATGACTGCAGGTATTGCGGTCTATGCAAACATGACTCCTTGCAAAAAGGTGTCAGTTTTGTGGCCAGATAGAAGGGTAAAAAACCAATTATCATATTTTTACTGGCAAATGAGGTCCCCATAGGTATTTATAGAATACAGTCTTCCGTTGGGTTTCTCATACAGTTCATCACACATGCCAAACGCTCGCTGATGAAATTGGCCAAACATCCCAATGCAGGATCCTCCTGAAAGAAAACCCCTGAGACTCTGAGAACCTTTGCTGGGTAAACGCATCAATAATTAGAGTAACGCCGCATGGATATACACGACTCGATGAGGGTAAAATCATAAACCTCTTATAGATCAAAAAATATACACACAACCCGCACAACGTATCGCAACGTGATCGTTAAGAACAACACTGTAATAAAAGTATTACGATTTTTATTTTTTTTAATATATTTAAAAATACTCCGACCGCATGCGGCCTACATATTCCTACCGGGCAGCGTCGCGCGTCCCCGGCAGACCTCCACTAGTCCCACGAGCCTCGGACCCCGCAAGATATTCAATTAACGTCCAAATAAGCAATACGCATCCACGGAGACGTGTGACAACCTCCGACGGGGCTTGATCTCTCCCCTCTCTACCCTGGCAGCCCGTCGAGCTCGGATTTTCTCGTTACAGGCAGCGAGTTTAAAGCTGGCTTACGCCGATCCGAACCACTCACGAATCGAGTCGACGCGATCTGGTTCGAGCGATTCCATGCGGGTTTCGATTCACGCTACACACCCCCCCCCCCCTGCCCGCTTGTGAATCGCGCCTAACTAGAGAGCAGGTGAACCCGCGCCCAAGAGTCAATCGCCAATATCGTGTCTTACATAGAAAACTAAATTATGACTTTTACGGCCAATTCGGTCCGAGCACCGCAAAGGAAACGGCGAAATCGATTCCCGCTGAACTGAATCGGCAAATCGATCCAGGCCCGTCTCCGTTGCCGCTAAAATTGCCGCCTTTGAGCCCCTGGGGGGCGATGTGGGGGGTGGTGGGGGGGAGGATGAGGGTGGTGGAGGGGTTAGTGGGGGGGGTTAGTGGGGGGGGGGTTAGTGGGGGGGGGGGTTAGTGGGGGGTGGGGGTTAGTGGGGGGGGGGGGTTAGTGGGGGGGGTTAGTGGGGGGGGGTTAGTGGGGGGGGGGTTAGTGGGGGGGGGGTTAGTGGGGGGGGGGGGGGTTAGTGGGGGGGGGGGGGTTAGTGGGGGGGGGGGGTTAGTGGGGGGGGGGGGTTAGTGGGGGGTGGGGGTTAGTGGGGGGGGGGGTTAGTGGGGGGGGGGGTTAGTGGGGGGGGGTTAGTGGGGGGGGGGTTAGTGGGGGGGGTTAGTGGGGGGGGTTAGTGGGGGGGATAGTGGGGGGGGTTAGTGGGGGGGGTTAGTGGGGGGGGTTAGTGGGGGGGGGGTTAGTGGGGGGGGGTTAGTGGGGGGGGGTTAGTGGGGGGGGTTAGTGGGGGGGGGTTAGTGGGAGGGAGTTAGTGGGGGGGGTTAGTGGGGGGGGTTAGTGAGGGGGGGTTAGTGGGGGGTTAGTGGGGGGGGTTAGTGGGGGGGGTTAGTGGGGGGGGGTTAGTGGGGGGGGTTAGTGGGGGGTTAGTGGGGGGGTTAGTGGGGGGGGGTTAGTGGGGGGGGTTAGTGGGGGGGTAGTGGGAGGGAGTTAGTGGGGGGGGTTAGTGGGGGGGGGTTAGTGAGGGGGGGTTAGTGGGGGGGGTTAGTGGGGGGGTTAGTGGGGGGGGTTAGTGGGGGAGGGTTAGTGGGGGGGTTAGTGGGGGGGGTTAGTGGGGGGGTTTAGTGGGGGGTGGTGGGAGTTAGTGGGGGGTGAGGGTGGGGGGTTAGTGGGGATGGGTTCTTGGGGGGGGTTAGTGGGGGGGGGAGGTTAGTGGGGGGGGGGGTTAGTGGGGGGGTTAGTGGGGGGGGGTTAGTGGGAGGGAGTTAGTGGGGGGGGTTAGTGAGGGGGGGTTAGTGGGGGGGTTAGTGGGGGGGTTAGTGGGGGGGGTTTGTGGGGGGGGGGGTAGTGGGGGGGTTAGTGGGGGGGGTTAGTGGGGGGGGTTAGTGGGGGGGGATTAGTGGGGGGGGGTTAGTGGGGGGGTTAGTGGGGGGGGTTAGTGGGAGGGAGTTAGTGGGGGGGTTAGTGGGGGGGGTTAGTGGGGGGGGGTTAGTGAGGGGGGTTAGTGGGGGGGTTAGTGGGGGGGGTTAGTGGGGGGGTTAGTGGGAGGGAGTTAGTGGGGGGGGTTAGTGGGGGGGGGTTAGTGGGGGGGGTTAGTGAGGAGGGGTTAGTGGGGGGGTTAGTGGGGGGGGTTAGTGGGGGGGGGGTTAGTGGGAGGGAGTTAGTGGGGGGGGTTAGTGGGGGGGTTAGTGGGAGGGAGTTAGTGGGGGGGGTTAGTGGGGGGGTTAGTGGGGGGGGTTAGTGAGGGGGGGTTAGTGGGGGGGTTAGTGGGGGGGGTTAGTGGGGGGGGGGGTTAGTGGGAGGGAGTTAGTGGGGGGGGGTTAGTGGGGGGGTTAGTGGGGGGGGTTAGTGAGGGGGGGTTAGTGGGGGGGTTAGTGGGGGGGGGGTTAGTGGGGGGGTTAGTGGGGGGGGGTTAGTGGGGGGGGGGTTAGTGGGGGGGGGTTAGTGGGAGGGAGTTAGTGGGGGGGGGTTAGTGGGGTGGGTTAGTGAGAGGGGGTTAGTGGGGGGGGTTAGTGGGGGGGTTAGTGGGGGGGGGTTAGTGGGGGGGGTTAGTGGGGGGGTTTAGTGGGGGGTGGTGGGAGTTAGTGGGGGGTGAGGGTGGGGGGTTAGTGGGGATGGGTTCTTGGGGGGGGGGGTTAGTGGGGGGATTAGTGGGGGTTAGTGGTGTTGTTGGTGGGGGTGGTGGTGGGTGGTTAGTGGGGGAGTTGTCGGAGGGTGGTGGGGGTGCACGGCACATGACGTCACGCGATGAGTGATATTCTTAGGTTTTGTTCGGTAAAGTCACGTAGGTAAAACATTAAAATTAATAAAAGTAAAATAAAATTAAAATCACGACGTTTCGGAGGCAACACAAGCTTCCGTCTTCAGGTGGAACCGTCACAGCCCGACAGCTGTATCAAGTAAATGAGAGATTACAGGAGCTACCACTCCGTTTATATAATGGTTGAGGGGAAGGGGCAGGGATGGCCCACTCTTTATTATTATGGTAAGGTGCGGTTTGAGACTATGAATAGACTGCATAACAAAGACTGAGCTTTTATTATGGAGAGGTTCGGCCATCTTACGTAGGGGGTTAGATTGCACTGAATGATACAGCAACGTGATTCCAGGTAAAGAATCAGCATCAGTCAACACACGCACACCACCGAAATTTCATTTAACATTTACCCACCCGCGTTTTCACGGTAAATTATTATGCTTCGCAATTGATTTCGGGCGAGGCCACGTTGCCAGGGCAAACCTGTGTCGACAGTTCCTCCCGCCACCCGACGCACCACACCGAATAACAAGTTGCCACGTTCAGAGCAATCCTCGTGATCCTCGCGATCAAATTGTTTTGCGGTAATTGTCCTTCATCTTCCCGCTGAGCTGCAGCGCTTGACGCGCGCCCGTGAATGTGGCTGCCACCTGATGGTGCCCGTTGTAATTGCTGCACAGATTGTAGATGTTGTGGCTCTGCTCTCCAACACGCCGGTGTTGTTGCACTCGTAACGAATCACCACGTTCTGTTTACGCGACAAACCTTATCAATTGGCTGTGTCGGGTGGTGGCGGGTTTAACGACACGTTTATATTTACGCGATCTAAAACAAAAACCCTCTATTATGGCTATTGGTGACTAAAGTCTACGACTTACGTGTCAAGCAGTCAACAAGTCTGGCGACGCTGCTGCTGCTGCTGATGAGACCCAGGGCCAGCAATTGCCCAAACACAGATGCCGCTTGATAATAACCTGTTGGCTCTGCAGACATATGACATGCGTGGAAAGCCAACAGGTAGCCTGCGGACTACAACACGCGTGTGATTGTTGTGTGAAGACACGTGCGAAGATTTGCAGTCTTCGAGGCAAATTTTTATTTTCAATCTTGGCCAATCTCTATGGATGTGCAATGAAGGGCCATTGCCCGAAACGTCGCCTATTGATGTTTGTATATAATGCCGCAGTATTGTTATTGAGGGCAGCGTTGTTTGTTGTTTGTGCACCACTGCCAAAGCAGCAGCAGCACCAATTCGCCCACTGTACATGCTGTACAGTACAGTACTGTATATGCTGTACAGTAACTGTGCATGCTGTACAGTAACTGTGCATGCTGTACAGTAACTGTACAGGGCTCCCCTTGCGTCAAATGACCGCGGCCCCTTCGTGGTTTGTTGACGGGGTCCCCCCGCCCGCCCCCTCGCCCCACGGCCAAGATCCGCGTCAAATTGACACGGACCCGGAGGGACGCGGTGCCGCTCAGCAGCGTGACACTCGCTCACCACTCCTCACCACTCACTCACCATCACTCACCACTCACTCACCATCACTCACCACTCCTCACCATCACTCACCACTCCTCACCACTCACTCACCATCACTCACCACTCACTCACCATCACTCACCATCACTCACCACTCCTCACCATCACTCACTCACCATCACTCACCACTCGCTAACCACTCCTCGCTCTCACCACAACGACACGAGAGAGGAGGGAGCAGAGGAGGGAGCAGAGGAGAACCCCCCCCCCCCGACGCTCACTCACACACTCACCCCTCGCTCACACAACACCAACACGGGAGAGAGGAAACAGAGGAGGACCCCCACCCCGACACTCACAATTCCTCACCATCCCTCACCCCTTCTCGCTCTCACCACCACAACGACAACACCGCGCCATGGAGAGCGACAGAGTCTCTCCCCCGCCTTGGCTGAGTGCCGCGCGGCCGGGTCCCCTGAGCCGCGAGTTGACGCTGAGCGGGCCCCGCGTGACGCTGGGCGCGCTGCTGGCCGCCACGTGCGGCCTCTGGGTCGTGGCCTACGCCACTCACCTCCTGCTGCAGGTGCCGCTCGCGCGTGTCGGGGGGCGCCTCCACACACGGGAGGGTGGTGGGGGTGGGGGGGGAGGCTGAATTATGAATTGGCCGAAAAATCTGAGTATATAGAGGAGCGCAGAGCTTGGGCAATTGTTGCTTGGTTGGAGGTGGTTATGGGCGCTCTACACGGACACACTGGAGGATGAGGAGGGGGAGGGGCTGAATAATTTATTGGCCGGAACGTCTTGATATATAGAGGAGCGCAGAGCTTGGGCAATCGTCCGTAGTGCCGGCTCCTTACCGCTGCTGCTGCTGCGGTCTTCCTGCTTTGTAGTTCTCCCTCTACAAAGAATACATTTACATATTACATTTATATATTGTTTGACGATTCGCTTCCATGCAGCACTAAGACGGTAGCTATCCGAACGGTTAAAGTAATTTTTATTTATTTCGATAGATTGTCTAATTAGTCTTGGCCAGTAGTAGCTGGTTTTGCACTAAACTTCAACATCAAAATCAATTGAGTGTCCTTGTTGGCACGCGTGTACTGCTACTGCTGACAGTTACATTTGAGATAATTTAATATTTCTCTGATATCCTTTTAGTCTCGTGCTAATCCATTCGTCCTGTTTGCCCAACATTAAAGCCTTAAGAGAATTGAGAGCAAATAAAGATATCCAAATTCTTGCTGCTAAGGGCGATCGACTGTTGTGATGCCCCATGAGGACTATGATAATTATCAAAGATTTACTCGATGAAGGTACCGACCTTAAAATTTAACGAGACCCAACCAGCACCTTGGAAAGTAAAACAACGGCAATCATTGCCAAGTCATCAATTCCCAAGGAAGAGCAATACCTGATCAAACCAAGGGCATCAAAACCACCGAGACTTTATGGGCTACCAAAAAAAAAATCACAATCCTGATGTCCCATTAAGACCCATAGTACAATAGGTTCTGCCACGTACAAATTAGCACAATACGTAACGAAACAAATACAGCCCTACATCGGTAGGACCTCTTCGTTCATCAAAAACTCTGAACATCTCGTAAATATAATGAAAGATATTGAGCTTAATCCTAATGATATTCTCGTAAGTTTTGATGTGACCTATCTGTTCACGAGGGTTCCGGTCAACGAGTCAATTAAATTTCTCGACACTCTGGTAACGAACAAAGGTTTATCCAAAGATATCCCAAGACGAGCTGAACACTGTCTAAAGAACACCTACTTCTTGTGGCAAGGTGACTTCTATAATCAAAAGGAAGAAGCAGCAATGGGCTCTCCTTAGTCTCCTGTGATAGCGAACTTGTACATGGAAGATTTTGAAACAAAAGCAATAGCTTCAAGCCCACCAAAACCATCTGCTTGGTGTTGATATGTGGATGACACATTGGTGGTCTGGCCACACGGCAAAGATACACTGAACGCATTTCTAAATTATCTCAACTCGCAAAACCCATCCATCCAGTTCACCATGGAAGTGGAAGCTGACAGAACTCTACCATTTCTGGATATTCTGCTCGGACGGGATATAAATGGTAATATAACACACAGTGTTTACCGAAAAAAAACACATACTGATGCCTATCTGAATGCAGTCACACCTTCACCCTGCACAGAAATCTGCTCTTATCAAGACGCCCAGTCATCGAGCTAAGAAAGTGTCAGATGGTGACAGTCTGAGAAGTGAAATTCAACATGTTAAAGAAGTGCTGCAAATGAATGGTTACAATGATGCACAAATCAACAGGGCATTGAATACTCTTTGTTTTTTTCGGTAAAGTCACGTAGGTAAAAAATAAAATAAATTAAAACAACTAAATTAAATCACGACATTTCGGGCGCAATACAAGCGTCCTTGAATACCAAAACCAAATAAAACAAGAGCATTGAAACTGCCCAAGTAATTAAAACTTTCAAAATACCGTACATTGCGGGAGTAACTGATAAACTTGCCAGATGTTTGGAAAAACAAAACATCCGAGTCAGATTTGGCACGGTACATGAAATACAGAATTTAATATCTGGTACAAAAGATGTATTACCGAAGCTATCAACAGAAGGTGTGTACAGGATTAACTGCACGTATGGTAAATGTTACGTTGGGCAAACAGGACGAATGATCAGCACGAGACTAAAAGAACATCAGAGAAATATTAAATTATCCCAAATACAACTGTCAGCAGTAGCAGAAGAAGCGTGCCAACAAGGACTTTCAATTGATTTTGATGTTGAAGTTTTGTGCAAAACTAGCTACTACTGGCCAAGACTAATTAGAGAATCTATCGAAATTGAAAGAAATCAAAATAACTGTTACCGTTCGGATAGCTACCGCCTTAGTGCTGCGTGGAAGCGAATAATCAAATAATAAATTATTTAAATGCATGTCTAGAAAGGGCAGCGTCCTTCAATAGGGATTACCGTTGGTAGGGCTATTTTAATAAACACAATAGACAGGAAGGACAAGTTCAAAGGGCTCGCATAATGCACATACATAATGTACTTTGCCCGAGTAATCCTGCCTCCACCCATCATTGTGCAAGAGCGCAGAAGGATGGTCAACACATCTAGGCCTCTATAAGGAACGAAACAGGTGGACTTCTCCACAAATCTGGCTGTCGCCTGATGAAGCTATTTGTAATTACTGGCGAAACGTCGTACTCAGTTTGTAAATGTTGTGGCTTGGCTCTCCAACACACCAGTGTGCTGTACTAGTGACGAACTGGCCACGTTCTGTTTACGTGACAACCCTTACTAGTTGGCTGTGTCGGGTGGTGGCGGGATTAAACGACACATTTATATATTCACGCGATCTAACCCAAAAACCTCTTATGGATGATATTGGTCGCGAAAGCCGACGTGTTAAACGTTCCCAACTCATCTTGCTCATGGCAAACGTGTCCCCGCTGTAGACAATAGCGCACTGCAGTCTTTATTGCGAAACATAACAGTCTCAGAGGTGAGATTAAGTCGAATGAAGAGCAGAACTAAATGTAATGTGATGCTTTGTGTCATCATTGATGACCGTCCTGAGACCATTAACTCGCTACACTTGAGAACCAGTTTAATGATGGTCAGCTGAAACCCAAATTGTAACCCAGGATGTCAGTGGTGCCAGCTCAGCCTCTGATGCACCCAGTAACCTTGATTACAGAGCAATATTAATAATGTTCATTACCCTGCAGGGCCTCAATTACGACATTCATAATTGTTAACCACGAGCTATCCACCGCTGGACGAAAGCACGATCCATCTGCACGTGAACCGATTTAATCGCTCCATCTCTGCTGCGGCTCTCCGGCTGGCATTCCGTCACCAGTCTCATAGGGTTGTGCGTGACATATTACGCCGTGGTGTGTGTGTGTGTGTGAGCTTACGTTGTCGCGCGACGGTGTATTTTTGTTTTTCAGAGCACCGCGGTGCTCACCGTCTTCATCCTGGTGTTCATGGTGTCGCTCATGTTCTACCTGCACATGGTGAAGGTGGAGCACGAGTGCGTGCTCCTCATCGCGGCCACGGGCGTGCAGCTCACGCGCCACTATGCATCGGGGCGCCAGCAAGCCACCTTCATTGAGATGGCGCGCGTCAAGGACATCGTCATCAACGAGGTCATCCATGCGGTCAGTTGCGGGCGTGGGCATCACGCCCGCACGCGTAGTGCCCCGCATGCGTACGTGTGCCCCAGTGGTGGCGCGTCGGCCGCTTTGTTGCAGAGGTTGGCACGTCCGGCAAGCCACCCAGGTTAATACTGCGGTGCATGTGTCCTGTAAAATGCCACAAGCCATCGGCTTTAGAGCGAATGTTAAAGATCCTATGACTTGGTCCGAAGAAAGAGTAGGTCATCGCATGTCGGCATTGCGGTCTGAATTTTTTAAATACAAAAAAATGACGAGGCAGATCTCTTGTGAAACGGATCACTCATTGTCCCTGCTGTGCAATTGTCTCGAGACTTAGTGAGGCTTTCCTGGATCAACAAAGGATATTGCTTTATTACTAACTAGTTTATGCATGCTTCCTTTACAAGGCTGTTACGAAACGTACATCCCTATCTATGCTTTGTGTACGCTCTGGCTTTAAATTGGTAACCAGTTGAATTTGCCGTTTTGTTTTGTAGCAGCAAGTGCTGTACCACATGAGTATCCTGCTGAAGGATCCCGCTTCCCCTGAGCGGATCTCCGGCATCATCCCAGTGTTTGCGGTGAGACCACAGCCCACCGCACATGAGCACCATCCGGCAGCGTGCAGGTGAACCGTGCACAGCTGCGGTGTTCAATATTCACAGCACCCTCTTTGACTGGCTTCTTCAACTGGTAATCCACAGGCCAAATTTTTCCTAGGGTCCACCAAGTTCTGTCAAGCCGAGATATATATTGTGTACATATATTTTAACATAGTTGCTGAGCACATGCCCAAAGGTGTAAAGCATCAAGCGTCTAGCAACAAACTGCAATGTCGAAGTTGTAACAGGTGAAGAGTTAACGGGTGGTGCGGTCTCCGTCCATCCCTTTCGTGGTGTCGCCCTATCATCGGACGTCCCCAGTAATGGTGCAGCGTGGGTGCGGTACATTCGCCGAGACGCCGGCTCGGAACCTACAGCACCGCAGACATTCTCGCCCGAGGACACTCGTCCAGATGGATGCAATGGTGCTGGGTGGACCTCTGTAGCGGCCGTAGTTTTGAATGGGACATGAACCAACACATTTGTCAGGCTACAGGGGCATCCCTATTGTGGGGGGGGGGGGGTGAGGGTTGAGTGAACTTGCACTTGTGGGCGAACTGGTGAGCCAAAGAGCTCACAAGCTCAATGTTTAGTCGTCTCACAATCAGGAGGTCACAAGTTCACAGTCCGGTTAGGGATCAACTCAGGCCATCTTTCCTTCGGGATCGATGAAGAGTCTATGAAATTTACACCATTGGAACCTCATTTGCCAGTAAAAAATATGATAATTGTTTTTTTTTACCCTTCCATCTGGCAACAAAACTGACACCTTTTTTTACAAGGAGTCATGTTTGCATAGACCACAATACCTGCAGACATAATGAAAACAAAAAACATAACTCTGATAATGTGCACTGTCCTTGAAGTTGATTGGTCCACACCCGAGATAGCTTTCCTTAGAGCCTAGCCTCACATGGGTTGGACCAGATGACGCCAAAAGGCGCACAACTCAAAAGACAATGCACCATCAGAGTATGAGAGCTCGGGGTAAGCATTTACACCATTGGAACCTCATTTGCTAGTAAAAAATATGATAATTGTTTTTTTTTACCCTTCCATCTGGCAACAAAACTGACACCTTTTTTTACAAGGAGTTACATTTGCATAGACCACAATACCTGCAGACATAATGCATTATGTCTGCAGGTATTGTGGTCTATGCAAACATGATTGCCACAAGGGATCGGACCGCCACATCTCCGCAGGAGTCATCCTCTCGGGTGTGTATCTCCCTGGGCTGCCGTTCCATCGCGAGTCTCGTCCATCAGCCACCATCGTTTCCATCGATGTGTCCCCAGCACGTGGAGCGAAATGTCGGACATTAAAACGATCAACACGCGGTTCAACCTGAAAAGACAATCGGAGAGCTGAACAGCAGCAGGACAACCGCAAGATGCCACTGTTAGAACCACTCGGTGGTTGTTCGCTGTAGAGACTGGACCCTGCAGTAGGAACGTGGAATTTCTACCAAACTTTCAAAGGCCCTAAAAGAGGCCGAGTGCTAACCCCATTGCTCGTCTCAGCAGAGCGTCGCCAACGATTTCTCGTGTGCTGACATTACCTGTGTTCCTGTTCCACGCAGAAGTTTAAACCACGACTCGACTGCCTGGTGGAAGTCTATCGGACCTGCCAGGAAGTGCTGCAGATGTCGGCGTCTGACAGTGCGGTGTTCAGCGGCGGTGGTGTTGGTGGCGCCGCTGGGATCAGAGACTGATGCAAAACACTACATTCACCGCACCACCAGCAGCAGAAGCTGGCTTGTCCCACGTGCTGTATTCACACACAGATCTCATTTCCAGGCACAACATGGCCAGGTTACTTAAATGCAGCCAAATGTATATTTTGACAACTACATCATAGACTATTACCATCATCAGCCATGTTCTATTCACTTCCGGATGAAGGCTCCCCCCCCCCCCATGCCTTCACCATTACTCGTGGTCCTGCGATGCCACAATGGATCCGATTGCTCCATCTCCACGGTGGTCGTACCCTTTAGTGTTCTCCCATTTGCCTGCCATTCCATCGGCTTTGCCCATCAGCCATCCTCTTCCCTTTCCAGAGACGTTCTCTTCACCAACACCTTCAAACAAGCACGATGCCTCGGGATTCACATTGCTCCCAGGTACACGTTGCTCCTCCTGTCAGCCGGCGTTACGTGCCTAATTAGCTCATGCAGCTAATTTAGACACGTAACGATTCCTCAATTCCTACTCGCACGAAGGTCGCATCGCATTGTGCCAAGCCTCAAATTGTTTTCAGTTTTATGCGCGTAACCACCCTGCAGCCGTGAGAGCCGCGGCGTTCACAGCAATCACCCAATCATGGATGCGAATCACGACGGAATCGCAACGCCTGCATCATGTTGCGCGGGGGTGAGGCATCGCCGCGTTGCATACTTTGAAACGGGGATTCTGTTTTATGAAGTTGCATTCATTTGTGCTTCGTGTGAATTGTGCCAAGCGTATTTTTCACAGAGATATTTGAAGCGGCACTTTTTCCAGTCTGTTGTTGACGATAGCATGCGAGTAAAAATTATGACATTATTTCCGTAATAATAAATTAATCGTTTTATGAACCACAGTTCTCTCCGTATACATATTACCGATAAATAAATAGTTGTAAAAGAAAATAGTCGCGTAAGTGTTTTCTATTGATGAACAGTCGTCTTGATTTGCGTGATATGACGACGGGCCTCAATAGAGCCCAATGTGTATAGTGTCGTGTCGAGTAGTGCTTTCGTAGAGCCCAATGTGTTCGCTCACTGACCATTCCCCTGTTAATGACAGGTTATAGGTGCAGTCAATATTATTGCAGTTGTAGTGACATCGGGGATGTCACTGTATGGTGCCGGCCCCGAAGGACCGTGGCGTGCGATGCACCGTCATCGCGTACACCCCGTAGGCGGGTGTAGTACCAGCCCTGGCGGGGCTTGGTAAGTGCTGGAATAGCGCGGGTAATGCGGGCTCCCACAGAGGGGAGCGGGAGAGTGTCAGCCCGGGGACAGGTTTGCCCCGGGCCATGGCACTCTGGTTGACCCCGCAGACACGTGATCCGGAGTGTCCACAGAGAGGCCCCCAGGTGGGAGGACGAGGGGGTGATCACGTGTCCGGGGAGAGCTCTCGAGAGAGATGGAGGGGGAGCTGGAAGGCTCCAGAAGGGGGCGGGGCCAGGGGCGGAGCGGCCCCGACCCGTGGGGGGATATAAGGCTGGTCCCTGAGAGGGACCGGGGTCACTGCATTCTACAAGCTGAAGCTCCACGCCCACCAGCTGAAGCTCCACGTCCACCAGCTGTAGCTCCACCTCCACCAGCTGTAGCTCCACCTCCACCAGCTGTAGCTCCACGCCCACCAGCTGAAGCTCCACGTCACCAGCTGAAGCTCCACGTCCACCAGCTGTAGCTCCACCTCCACCAGCTGTAGCTCCACCTCCACCAGCTGTAGCTCCACGTCACCAGCTAAAGCTCCACGTCCACCAGCTGTAGCTCCACGTCCACCAGCCGGAGCTCTACGTCTCAAGCTGAAGCTCCACGTCCACCAGCTGTAGCTCCACCTCCACCAGCTGTAGCTCCACGTCCACCAGCTGGAGCTCCACCTCCACCAGCTGGAGCTCTACGTCCACCAGCTGGAGCTCCACGTCCACCAGCTGTAGCTCCACGTCCACCAGCCGGAGCTCTTCGTCTCAAGCTGAAGCTCCACGTCCACCAGCTGTAGCTCCACCTCCACCAGCTGTAGTTCCACGTCCACTAGCTGGAGCTCCACGTCCACCAGCTGGAGCTCCACCTCCACCAGCTGGAGCTCCACGCCCACCAGCTGGAGCTCCACGTCTCAAGCTGGAAGCTCTACGTCCTAGGAGGCAACCACATGGTCGCGGACCCGAGTGAGGGCCCGACCCTTCGTAGCAGTAACTCTGTATAGAGTAGTTCGCTGGGTGGTCACCACCCTAGGCTGTATCTGGTGAAGGGGCAGTTGCCGCTTTGTGTTACGTGTTACAAATAAATGTGTTGCATCTAAAAGGAGCGTCACTACACATTGATTAACCATGTTTCTTTAAATATAGTGTTTATAATGTTGTTAGTATCTTTATGTTTAAATATTACAAAGTACGTTTTTTGGGTGAAAAAAGGTAACTTCTGATGAAATCAGAATGAATGAAGCCTTTAACGTGCACTTCCTATACTCTCTTAACCAAATCCCTTTACGACTGGTTTCATGGAACCAATTACCGTAGTTAAGAGGGGTTCGCCTGCGTTCCTTTACTTTTAAGGCCACAGTGTTATTGATGAACGTGAGGTTTTGTTGTAAATTGTGTATTTGCACCACTGCATCACCAACTTATAGACAACGTATATGGGTGTACCAAAGTTTACATCCTTGAAAATGCCATGAAAGTCACTGTGGGGGCCGTTGGCCCCCGGGGTCCCTCCCGCCTGCATCCCCTATTCCGTTTACGTTACCCCACCTCCCTATTACCCGCTACGGTTTCGCCGGCATTCGAACGCGACGCCCCTACTGTTACAGCCTCGCGCCGCGCTCCCACGCTGCGAGCATACGTGCGCACATCATCATCAATCAAACGCCGTGCTCGCAGTATAGCCCTGTGCGGCACGTTACCAATGCGCATCCGTATCCGACACGTAACGAACGTATGCCCACACACACAGCTCCACACGCGATACCCACCCTTGCGCCGCTCTGCGCCGCGCTGGCCGCTCACGTTATGATCGCGCACCTGGGGTACGCCGATTACGCACGCCGAGAGCTTACGCATACACAGTACCACACGCGTTCACACTTATAACACGAGATCACACGAGGCCACGATCAGCTATTAATGATTTATTATCCGCTACCTGGAACTAGATGTTAAATCAGTGAGTCGACGAGGCTGGCCTACGCTGATACCTCTATACCTATTCCCGATTTATCTGCTATGATTCTAATTCACCTTCTTACTCACTGTTAAGTGTCCACGGCAGTCCGCTGATCCTTGTGCTAACCGCGTGCCTCGGTGCGTCGCACGGACGTCCGGGTCGCTGGCTGGAACTGCGTCTGGTCGCCTGGCGCTGGAGTAAGAGAGCGATTTCCCCTCTGCGCCCCTCTATTTATCCTCCCTACCTCAAAGGGGATGCTGCGCTGAACAATGGGCTCGCGCACCTCGAGTGCGCGCACGGCGGTTCCGGGCGCTTTTGATATGCTAATCAGTGAGCGGCGTTGGCGGCGTACATCCTAATTAATCCCTTACCCTCCCTAACAATGGGGCCTGCGCGCTCAAGCGTAATTATCCCAACCCTCCATGACTATAAGCAACAGCTCCTGCGGTCCCGCTATTCATGCTGTCCCGTCCCTCCCCTGCTTGCCCCGTCGACCCGTGGGGGTGTGTGTGGGGGGAAATGCGCCTCAACCGCGGTGGCCGAATGCCCCATGCCGCGACCACACCATATTAAGGCTGGTCGCAGCGCCGCGGCGCAACGTAGCACGGGGGAGGTCATCCAATTCCCTGATCGCCGGAAACCGTGAGAGTTAACCCCGATAAGGGTTTCTCGGATAAAAACCGGTCGGCCAGGTGACCTCCCCTCGGAGCTCTATGGGGGGGGGAAGGGGGGGGGAAATGCGTGCGGGTGTGTTCGTGTGAGGTGAGGTGAGGGGGACGCGGGGTTGGCTCCGTTGCTTGGTGGTGGCGAGGTCGGGGATTTGGGCGCCTGCCGAACGGCTTCGTGGCGGCGGCATGACATAGCCCCCCGAGGTGCTGGTCCCCGTCCCGGGTTGACTGGAGCACCTCGCTTGGGCCGCGCCCACGAGAAAACGTTGCGGGGTCCGGGGGATCCGTCCGGACCTTGTGGCTGGTCTCGGGGCGGGTGGCGCCGTCCTCTGTAGCTCCTGCGGCGGCCTCCTCCTCCACTCCAGCGGCTCTCCCTGTCCCTCGGTACCTGTGGGCTGGGGCACAAACTCAGCAGCGGAAGGGTTTAGGAGCCGTCGTCCGCGCCGCCCCCTGGCGGGGTCGGGGCGTCTCGGGGGCCCGGCGGGGCCCATGTAGGGTGCGAGGCCCCCCAACACGAGGGGTGTGGGTACTCCAGGATTTCGGGGCCTTCGGGTGACGGGGTTCTCTCTCGCTTTCCACGGTTTTAAGCGGCGGACGTTGACCACCGTCTCTCGATCCCTCTCCCCGCCATAAATTAGTACCGTCCAGGGGGAGATCTGTCGCACCACGGTCCAGGGTCCCCGCCAGTAGGTCGTCAGTTTCCCCACCTGCCCGGCCCCGACGCGAGGGGTGTGTAGCCACACCTTAGCGCCTGTCAGGAATAAGGGGGGTTCCATGCGGGGTCGGGTGCCCTGTTCCTGCCGCCGATGCGCGGCTTCCCCTTGCGGGTATGCTCGGCCTCGGGCTTCTCGCAGGGTCTCCAACAGGTGTTCCACGGGGCGGCTTCCCTCCTCCGGCTGGGGGGGAGGGACGCCGAATAGCAGATTGCGGGTAAACGAGACTCGCGGCCGAACATCATTAAAAACGGGGTTTGTCCCGTCGACGTGTGTACGGTGGTGGCGTAGGCGAAAAGGGCGTAGGGGAGGTGTTCATCCCAATCCCGTTGATTTGCGGCCGCCATACGTTTGAGTTTCCCCGCTAAGGTCTGATTCATGCGCTCCACCATACCGTTCGCCTGGGGGTGGTACGCTGTGGTTCGGTCCTTCTGGATTCCGAACTCTCGGCACAGTGCCTGGAACAACTCGGCCTCGAACTCGCTACCCTGGTCGGTGAGGACTCGTTCTGGGATCCCGTGCTTAAGTACGTAGTGTTCCACAAATGCCCGGGCCACCACCAAGGCCGTTTTATCAGGGATGGCCACTGCCACGGGGTAGCGGGTGAAATACTCTACTGCGACTAGGATATATCGGTTGCCTCGATGGGATCGCGGGAATGGCCCCTGTAGGTCGATCCCGACCAGCTGATTCGTGCGGCTGATGCGGAACGGCCTTAGGGGTACCTGGTATCGTGCCGGTTTCGGCCCGCACTGCTGACAGGCGCAGCAGCCCTGTACCCAGGCCGCCTCGTCTTGTGCCAATTTGGGCCAGAGATACTGGCGACGCAGGGTCTCTCGAGTACGTCGTTCCCCATCGTGGCCCCCGAGTGGGTGGTCATGCACCAGCCGTAGCAGCTGGGGTCGCATCTGGGCAGGAACACAGATGCACCCCGGCTGGCCGGCCTCGGTTAACTCCCGTACCACTCCGTTCTGCACACACAACCGGGCATACAAACCGCTCCAGGGTCCTGGTAGGGCGCTCTTTTCTTCCCGCAGTGCCGCCTCCACTGCCGCCAGATCCGGATCTCGCTGCTGGGTCTGTCTCAGCTGCTCGTCGTTTAGGCCCGGGAAGGCGCAGCCGACGTCCTCCTGGATCCGTCCGATCGGGTCCCGAGCCGCGGGTCCCGCGCTTGCCGGGCGGTCGACAGGATCCTCAGTGCCACCTGTGAGGGTCTCTGTGGCGCACACTGCACTCTCTCTCGCTGGGGGGGGGTCAGTGGCCGCGGCCTCTCGGGGGTCCGTTGCCTGCCGGCAGCGTCCCCCCGTGAAACACGGGCAGGCCTCCTCCGCCCTCGTCTCGGCGTACACCGTGGGTCGCCTCGACAAGGCATCCGCGT